TGCCCCGCCGCCCTTGGGCCGCTCTCCCCTGGCCCAGCGGCGCCGGGGCCCGGCCCGGCTCGGTTGGTGCCGGGGCGCTGCTCTCCGGGGCTGCATTGATCCCGCTGTCAGGTGACTGCGTTTTTGCAGAGGGCGAGGGAGGGGGAAAAACCTGAGCTGAAATGTGCGCTGGCTGCTCCAGGACCTCCCCGCGCTTCGGGAGCGGGTTTTCTGTGGCCTGGCTGAGACCTGCGGGGCTTTTCTGGATAAGGAAATGCAGATAGCGTGCTCTGGGTAGGGGAGATAGCGTCCTGCCTTTAGTTTACAGATCCAGAACTTGAGGGTCGGGGGAGAGGCAGGGAGAGACCTCTCGTTTTCCTTGTAGAGCAAGAAAAAGGATTTTGCACGCTGAAAGGATGAAACGACTCCACAGCTTTATTTCCCAGAATTTAGAGGGTGTCTGTAACCGGAGGGAAGGTATGGAAAGCTGGAGCGGTGTCTGGGAAGAGCAGGAGGAAAGAAAGGGTTCATGGAAAGGGAGAAAGGCATGTAAAGGGCAGTGGTGATGATGATACACGGGTGGAGATGGAGGGGCTGAGTGCTGCAGGATGGTGTTTATTGCTCCTCATCTGGTACTGGGTCCCAGGGTGCAGCATCCTCCTGCAGCTGGGTCTGTGGAGCTGGAAAGAACGTGAGCCTGGGGAGAGTCCTGTGCTCCTGCTCACCACCGCCTCCCACATGGAGGTGGCAACTGCTCCTCTCTGGGCCTAAAGGTTGAGCACGGGCACATGCTAAATGCTTAGGGTGTTATTTTTGGATTAAAAGATGGCCTTGGGTACACTTGTGGTAGTTCAGTGTGGGTTTTTATTCTGGTTATATTCCATAGAAGTCTCAGGAAAGGTCGTTGTCATAGCACATACCAGACTTTTCCAAGGTCATGGTCAAGACACGTAGCACAAGTTTGTCTAGGTACATAAATTCATGTGTGCAGGACTTGATAATGGATTCCCCTGAATGTGATACTTCCCTGCAGTAATTTTATTTAGAAATGGATTCAGAGAGATTCAGAGTTTATGGCTATGTTATAGATTATTTGGGTTGTAGAACTTTTCTTCCAGCCAGCTTTCTGGCTCATGTTGAAAGTCGTGGTGTAGCTGTTCTGCTTCTGGTTTTCAATTAACTTCTCAAGGATCAGTGCCAAAATATTTATTTGGAGGTAGATGATTGGTTGTGTTATGCTGAGTGATTGGTTTGCTTTGTCTCTTTTGGGGGGGTTGTTTTGTGAAGAGCCTTGATAAATGAAAGGAAATTTTGTGAGGGTTTTGGTGTTGTTTTGTTTTTGCTGGGTTTTTTTTGCTTTACCTTTGGAACTTAATACCATTGAAATTTAGGATTATTCCTTCGGGTCTCTTCCTCTCTCCAGCTTCCCTATGTTTGTGCCATCAGCAGAACTTGGAGGTACACTGAGTGCCAGAGGGCCTAAAGCTGTCTGGTTCTTAGAAGGAGGAGGGAGTGAGGAACAGAGTATTGGAATTCCAGTAACATCATTATTGGCAGCACCTTGAACTTTCTTAAATGATATTGTCATTCTCATGTCGAATAACAGTTGTATCTGTTTATTACCAATATGTTTAACCAGATACTGAAGTCCGTGTTTCCCTTATTCAGGATTTGGAAAACTATTAATCTAGCTTCTAGAAAACAGGAGTCTGGTGTAGATGAAGATACTTGGTTGGTGATTTTTCAGCTGTCTGAGAGTAGCTGTGCTAGTTCCAGCTTGCTGAGAAACAGTTTTAGCAGTGACAGAGACAATATACCATCTGGAAAAACAACTTTAGTTACATCATGTAGTGTTTGCAATCTTAAAAACCCACTAGTGCTAAAAAAAGCCATTTTGAAAAGAATTTAAATCATTTACATCCATCCCAATTTAATAAAATATCATTAGATAAAAAATTTCCTAATGTCACTAAGTAGTAACTCTGTGCTTTATCTTTTTGTGGTTGTTTTGCTGTTTTTGAAGTGCTCACAAGAGAATTGAATAGTCTATGAAGATTTTTGTAGCACCTAACTACAAAAATATGTGTACTCAGTTCTTGAGGTGCTTCCTTGTGTTAGGAAGCATTTATCTGTTCCATGTCAATTCAGAATTTTAAAACTCTTTAGGTGCAGGTTGGAAATGTTTCATGATTGGAATTAAGTGACTGCAGAGTACTGGAAATGTTGGACTTAAGGAGGAAAAAGAAGAAATACTAAACTGTTTTATTAATAATAAGAGTCATTGGTATAAAGGCAGAATTTGAAGACCAACACTTCTTTCTAGAATGAACAGTTGTGTTTTTTTCCAGGCTGCACTTGTCTGTATTTTAATGCAGAACCTGCTGTTGTAAGAAATTTTATTTACTTTTCACACTTTGGGTTGTTTTGTGTAAAACAGGTGGTGTTTTTTGTCCTCCACAATTGTATCTTAAATACTAAAACCATGTTGTCACTCCCATTCCAGTTAAACTCCAGAAGCAGTAACTCCTTTCCTGTACCCCATTTAACGGTTCCTTCTGTAGGCCAGTTGCATAATCATTTAAGTGTGTGTTTGTCTCTCATCAGGTGATTGTTCCAAAGCCATTTTTTTTCCTATGAAGGAGTTTTTACTCATTACAGATAATGTAGTGTAGAAGATGCAAGGAATGTTACCCATTGCCCTTTTGTTTTTTTTTTTTAAAAAAAAAAGGCTTTCACTGCTGGCACAGCAAAACTCTTGGTTTGTTCAAGTCCATGGAAGCCTTGGTCTGCTGGCCTTCATTTTCCTTTTAGGTTTTTAGAACTTGATTTTAATACTACAAAAGCATAAGATTTACAGCCTTGGGGAAGGATGAGGACAGTCACTGTTTTGTTAGGAGCACTTCTGTTATGAACCAAAACACAATATCATGGCAGGGATCTCTTAATATATTTCAGCTTAATGGAAAATTACTGACTTACAAAGTTTCAGTCATTACAGTCTGCATGTTTCCTGGTTTTAGCTGATGAAGTCATGGGCTTGCACACATTGTGTTAAAAATATCATAGCAATAGGTTGGGGCGTAAAGATCTAAGAGTTTAAACTGCCACATACTTTGTGTCACTATGTGTGTGTAGTGTTTTATGTTATTTCAAACATTATCATCCTTCAGTTATGTTTACTTTGTTCACTTTTATTTATTTATTTATTTTGTTCCCATTCTCTAACTTTTTGTTTTCCCCCCTTAAATGTTTTGGTGATTCTCCAGAACCAACGAAACGTATGCTTTCCTTCCAAGGGTTAGCAGAGTTGGCTCATCGTGAGTATCAGGCAGGAGACTTTGAAGCAGCAGAGAGACACTGCATGCAGCTCTGGAGACAGGAGCCTGACAACACTGGGGTGCTTTTGTTACTGTCGTCCATTCACTTCCAGTGTCGCAGATTGGACAGGTAGGACACTCAAGGTGCTCTGTCAAGCTTTCTCTGTCATTACACCTCTGATAGTAGCAAGCACAGCTGGCAAAAGCTCTAACATTGTTGCTTTTTTTTAATCGCTGAACTCCAGTACTGACTAACTTCTGGACAGCAGCAAGAGCTGCTCAAAAATGATTTTAAAATGTTAGGGGAAGGGAAATACAAATTGGAATAACCAGCTTCACAGCAAGCAAGCAGATCTTGTCATGATTCTCATGTTGTTTTAATGCAGTGCACATGAGTATCCAGTGTCTGCAACACCGGTGTGTACCGGAGGTATTTACCTGTGTAGACAGACTTTTGTTTATTTACTCCAGCTGCAGTGTAGGAGTTTGTGGGCTTGCTTTTTTAAGTTGCAAGACTGTTTGCTGTGAAATGGCATAATTCCTTAAGGTTTTTTTGTCATCTGGAGCTTGTCTCCATGTTCTTTCTGCTTCTCTCTTCCTGGTTTTGCTTTCTGTTCCTTCAAGCATTTTGAACTTTGCGTGTTCTAGTTGTAAATCTCTGTGTGCTGGTAAAGGAAGTAAGAACTTTTGACTGAGATTTATGTTATATGGGCTTCTTAATGAAGGTGTAATAACAGTTCAGATATGGGAGGATGCAACAGAATTTTACATCTCTGTCAGCTTTTCCTGCCTCTTGAAAAGAATTACTGAGTGGAGAATTACTTAGTGTATACAAATGTTGGAAGAGGCTTCCCAGGATTTCTGTGGTGTTTTCTCCAACTGCATCGAGTTCAGGTTTGGTGAGGTGACCCTGACCCCACTGACTGTAAATGAGAGTTGTCTGTCTTCACTGGAATCTAATATAGGAACAGGGGAGATAATGGTTTAAGGTAGGAGAAGCTGAAGACAGCTTCTCTTAAGTCCAGATTTGTGGGCTGTATGTTTGGCTCACTCAAGCATGAACGTTCATTAGGTAACAAGGTAAACAGGCACACACTGAAAGTCAGAACTGGGTTTTTGTTGTTGTTTTTATGTTTTTCTAACTTGTCTTATTTTCTCCAGGTCTGCTCACTTCAGCACTTTGGCTATTAAACAGAACCCACTGCTGGCTGAAGCCTACTCAAACCTGGGCAATGTGTATAAGGAACGTGGACAGCTGCAGGAAGCCATTGAACATTACAGACACGCTCTGCGCCTCAAACCTGATTTCATTGATGGCTACATTAACTTGGCTGCTGCCCTGGTAGCTGCAGGGGATATGGAAGGAGCTGTACAGGCATATGTGTCTGCCCTTCAGTACAACCCTGTGAGTGACACTTGATTTTGTAGATGAACTCCAGAGCACGTTAGTGCTGCCCCAGGATGCACAACTACCTGATTTCAAAGAACAGACAAGTGATAACCCTTCCCTCTAACCTGTGCACCATAAACTTAAGGATCTACTGAATACTTTTCTTAAGTATCTTTGTAAGACTTCTGTAACAAAGAAGTTTTATATTGCAATACAGTAGGGGCTGCTGATTGTGTACTGTTGAGATAACAGAAAAGCAAGGAACAGAGGCATTTTTTAATCTGAAGTTTCAGTCAATAACCTTGTATTAGCTTTGTGTGCTTCTCTAAGGCACAGTGAGAGAATCACTGCTCAGACTTGAATGTGAGATCTTGAAATATCAGTTACTACTTTATCACAAGGTCAAGAAACTTAGTGGTGATAGTTGCCTAGATATGGTGTTAGGATTTTTGGTTATAACTATTTACTACTACTAAGCATGGTGAAGAAGTCTGCTTGCTCGTTAGTGATAAGCTTTGTCAAAACATACTTTAAAGGCACCATTGGTCTGGTGTGCATACATCCCTTCTACTTTGAAAAAGCAAATGCAGACCCAGTTCAACAAGAACTCAAAATCTTTTCACTGTGTCCTTCAGCCCAGGTGAACTTGTCTAGCTAATTATGCTAAGTAGTGTGGTAGTGGAGTTTATGCATTAGTTAGAAATACCATGAGATGGTGTTTCCTTTCAGGACTTGTTTTTTATTTTCTTTTATATTTCTGTATAAAGAGGAATTGTATGACATACTAATTTCTTCCTGCTTCTTGCCAGTTGTATTTTTTACAGTACTAGAATCAGTAGGATTATCTGTTGGCTGCAATGCTAGGACAAGAAAAGTAATTTGCATTTGTGGTGTATTTATTAAGAATAAGCTTTAGAGGACTGGTGTGTTCCTTTTCAAATTCTCGGTGAAGAGCTTTGTAGCGTCTGAAGTCCTGAAGCTGATGGTGTGACTTTGATTTTTCAGGACTTGTACTGTGTTCGTAGTGACCTGGGGAACCTGCTCAAAGCCCTGGGTCGCTTGGAAGAGGCCAAGGTAGGTGTTGGGTAGATTACATGTAAACGTCAGTGTTTTGAAAACTTGAACTTTGCACCAAGTCTTCAAATCTGCGTTGATCGACAGACAATCTGAGAAACTGCTGAAAACTGAAGGCACTGAGACACCCCAGAGTAGTTGCAGGGCATGTCCCACCTTTAAAAGTTGGTTTAATTCAAGAAACGGAACATTACCAAGCCTTTCTGCTGAACTAGACTATCCGATACCATTCTGAAGTATTGGGCAGGGGCTCCATCATGCTCTTATCTGGAAATAAGTAACAGTCCTTCAAATCTGAGGCTTGCCTGCTGGTGCCAAGCAGAGAGCCTGTGCCTAGCTTGAGATCCCTGTACGATGCAGGTGCTATTGAAAATGCTGATCTTCTAAAGTCCTTTGTGGCTTGTAAGTGGAGAAGAAACTTATCCAAATGTTACCTTGTAATATTGGCTTTTAAGATTTTTATTCTTTTAACTTTTCCCTTCCCTTGATAGTGGAAGAAAGGCTAGTAAATGATCAATAGCTGCAGTATGCCAACCCCCTGAATATCTTTTCATGTCTTCCCTCTCCCCTCCCCCAAAATAAAGAAATCAGAAGGACAAAGCTGGTTTGTTTGGGAAATGAACTGATCGAAAGAAAACTTGTTGTAGTGGAAAGGTGGCTTCTAGCAGTCTTGTTTCCTAAACTAAGAATTCGAACACCAAGATGAGTTTAAAAATTCTTGGCAAGTTAAAACTCGGATTGCACAAAGAAATTGTTACAAGCCACCTTACGCGTCCACGCAGCAGGGGTGAGGAGCGTGGAGAGGTCGGAAACGCTCTCGACTCCACGTCTGTCACTCCAAGCCCCACGCGCATGCTCAAAAGTGGAGTGTATGAACAGCGTAGCTGTCTGTTTGGCTGTAGCACCATCTGGGGAGGGTTGTGATCTGAACGGGAGCACAGGTTCAAAGTTCATTGGTTTTGTTGACTTCTCTTGAACAACTTGGATTCGTGTACCATCCTAGGGCGGCCTGATTGATTTGGTCAGATCCAGGTTGGAAATAATTCGGAGCAGCCTTTAGAGTTTGAAAAGTCTTTGAGACACTTGGTTCTCAGCCCACCAAGCGGACAGCTAACATGAATTGCACTTCACTGCAGCTTTAGTGTGACTGGTATAGGCAAAGACACTGCGCCTGCCTTAGGTTGCTGACTTCTTTGTTTCAGAGCTCTGGAGACACCTAGTTTGAAAGTGTTATTCCGTTTTGTGAGAACTTAATAAACAAGGAAAAAGATCTTGAGTCAATTGCAATGTGTTTCTTTGGTTATCAGTCCATTTGAAAGACCAAGCCAGCAGATTCCTTACAGTTTGAACTAAAATTTCTTTGTAGATATTTCAGAGCCTTTCTTCCAAAAAAAAAAAGAAACAAAACCAGAAAAAAAGTCCCTGCTGTATGCCATGGCCCTGATTAACCCTATCCCTTCTGCATGTCTCCCTTGTTACAGACAGATTGTCCTCATTCCCATGTGTTAAGACATATCCAAAAAAATGCAATTGCTTTGTTGAACTCTTACTAATGATCTTGTTTTATTTTCTCTCTTGTTTTTGGTTTTTCACCACTGATATTGTATTTAGAAGGTTTCAGGTGGGTGAAACCTCCTATTCCATGCGTAAGGTGCCTCGCTGAAGGGAGCTCGAGGCCTGGATCTAGGGCAGACACACACCTCCTCCTCCTCTTCCAGCAAGGAACGCACCGAAAAGTCACATGATGAGAAATATGGTAACGGGTTTGTAACTGCCACAGCAAAACCATTTGCCTCCATGCCTGAATCTTCTGTCTTGTGGCTTCAGAAACAGCTTAAAATATTTAATTACAAGCAAGTAATGTAAGAATATTTTATACTAGTAGCCACAGATTCTTTCAAAGAAATAAAGTAAAAGTAAATTAAAATTAAAAAAAAAAAAAAAAAAAAAGAAATAATTGGAGATAGTTAAATAGTAAAAGCTTCTAACTCTTCTGGTTGTTCATTTTTTTCCTTTTTTCTTCTTTGTTTGGATTGCAGCGTTCTGCTCTTCTGATGACGCGCTGTGACCCTGCAGTAGCGCAAAGGCTGCGCCGCGGTAACGCGCGTCGCGTGCGATCCCGCCCCCGTGAACGGTCGGCTAGATGATTAATCTCTGATTGGGCGGCTGCCCAAGCTCCAGGCTCTGGCCTTTTGGATGAAATTGGGTAGTAAACTGTTTTTTTAGACTGCCAAGAGAAATTGATAAAGACAGGAGTTTCCGAGCAGGCCGGTCTGGCAGATTAATGATTCTGGCTGGCCGTTCACCGGACCTAGGGGCAGCGGCGAGAGCAGAGCAGTGGCAGCAGCAGCGCGCGCCGTGCTGGCTAGGATGCGCAGCGACTTCCCGCGCTTGCATTACAGGGACCTAAACCTTCCTGCAATCCTGTCATTTGAGGTTTTGAAGCTGCAGGTGATAGGGCACGATTGAAGCAACTGGGGAACGAGAGAGGGATGGGGTGTCTCGTCTCGCTTGACAAGGACGATGAAAACTGAAGAAGGGCTTCATCTTTTTGTAGTAGTTTTTCTCATTTTTTAAAGTAATTTCTATCTCTCTTAAAATATTTCACAATTCAGTAATTTCATCTCCCAGCGAAGACGTTTTTGCCTGGTAACTTCTCAGTTTTTACGCCACTTACAGGTGGCAGATACTTCCGCTGAACTACTGGAGCTGTTTCTGGGATGGTGTCTGTGGGCCTGGTGTTGGAAGGGCCATTGGTTGATGCCAGCAGAACTGAAGAATGGTGGGCTTGCACCTGGGTTTTGGTTTGCGCTGGCGCAGGAGCAACAGCAGTTTGCAGCGCATTAGTTTTGGCGCAAGCTAGCCTATACTGCAGGGTCACTTTTGGCTGGTTAGAGAAGGCATACTAACAATTGTTTTTTTCTCATTTTTTTTTTTTCTTTTTACAAATATTCCCCTTCCCTTGTATCTCTCTTCTTTAACTGTTCAAAGGCCTGTTACTTAAAAGCAATTGAGACTCAACCAAACTTTGCAGTGGCTTGGAGTAATCTTGGCTGTGTTTTCAATGCCCAAGGAGAAATTTGGCTTGCAATTCATCACTTTGAAAAGGTAACTAAGCTAGTCAGTTTCACTGCTGGGTTTTAATATACACGCAGCTGTCTGCTTGTGGATGATATAAATATTTTGATCAGCAGAGAACTTGTGATCCTGTTAACATCCTGTGTTAGCTGTTACTTTCTGATGTTTCCAGCTGCCTGTAGGTCACCAGAGGGAGATGTCTAGAATTACCCTAGGGACTTCATGCACATATCAAATAGAAGAGAATTCATTGCCTTGTTTTACAGTCCTTTTGCCAGAATAAAGTTTTAAAAAATCTAATTGGATGGGAATAATGTTTTGTGTGTTTCATGTGTGAAAGGGAAAAAAACAACTGTTTAAAATAATTTTTTACTGTGATTTTGTTTCAGGTATTACTGTCCTTTGAGTAACTGAGGAGAAAAATTTTAAGTGACACACTAATTCCTCTTCTCCAGGATTATTTTTCACCACAATTGTTTCAGACTTTTCTAGAGTGGTATCATTAACTAGTTGCCTGGTACCTTCTAGTTCGTGTCTAGTTAGCACTATAATTCAATTTAGAAACTTAAAGAGATGAATACAAAGTGACCTAAGATCAGATTTAAGATGTGGTGGACAGTTTCTTCTTTATGACTTAAGATCTACAAAACCATTTTTGTCTGCTCAGGGTTATTATTATTTATTTGGAGGGGGGGTCTGTGTCTAGTTAGCAATAGATGATTAAGTATTCCACTTTGCAAGTAGTAGTCACCATGAGAGATGAGTTTTGAAGGGAGGGTAAATCCTTTTAGTTAAATGGCCACTGAATTTTCTGTGCACACACAATAATTTTCTCTTTTCTTGCTCTTGTGAAACTTAAAAAAAATTTTCCTGGGCTGCTAAGGGTTTTCAAACAGTGTCTTATTTTGCAGTAGATAAATGTCATGGAACAGCTTTTTTTAGGGTTTTCTTCCCTAAAAACAAAGGCAGCACAGCATGGGGTAGGCAGGAGTGTTAAGTATGATCAGCCTAGCATGAAGTAAGTGTTTGACAGCCTGTTCTGCAATAGTTCCAACTGACTAGGTGAGCAAATTAATACATTTGAAGGTGGTGTGTGCTGTCCAGATAAATAACTTCGATGCTTTGTGATGGATTTTTATGTAACTTAAGTTTTCCTTCCCTACTAGGTTATTGATAAAGTCTTAGGTGCTTACAGATTGGGTTTGTCAAATAAAAGAAAGTAACAAAAAGCCCCCTATATTTAATGAAGAATGTTCTGGTGTTAATGCTCAAAACTGTTACTTCAAAAATATTTTCAGGCTGTAACACTTGACCCAAATTTTTTGGATGCTTACATCAATCTGGGAAATGTCCTGAAGGAGGCAAGGATATTTGACAGGTAAGCAGATATGTACTGTTGCTCTGTGCCTGTCAGATGTATCAAGATACAAATTAGGGTCCTGATGTAAAATCTCTTTGGATGGTATAGCAGAGACTTCTGCTGAACAAGCAAATGGCTTAGAAATGCAAGTGGAGCAGATTACTGGAATTAATTTATTTTTTTTTTAAATCCTGTGAAATTTATTTCTTTATGTTGCTTTCCTGAACTTAGAATTTTATAAAAACGAGAATTTCTGAAGGTATTGATGAAAATAAATTTGAAATTAAGGCTTGGAACAGGTGAACATAAGATGTCTGGGAAGGTCATGAACCCTGGAGTTCTCTTCATACTGTGATTCAGGACATGATGTAGAAGTGTCTCTCTTCTAAAATTTTCCTTTTGTGCAAGACAAGCTGAAATGCTGAAATTCAGCTAAGGATCTGATTTAATATTCTATATTTTTTAGGTGTTGGCATCATTGTATAGCATGAGATTGCAGTACTGTCCCTGTCTTTTTGAACTCACTTGTTTTGAGATCTCTCATTTGGTACCTGAATTTTTATTTTCCTGGGAGAAGATCCAGGCTGTGTTGTTCATATGCAGTGTTCCATATTGCATCTGAGAGTTGGACTAATTTATAGTAGCTTTTTGGCTCCAAATTTAATAAAAGCTTTCAGGGAACAGGTTAATTATTCTAAGTAGGTTGCACTGCACCCACTGTAAATCATTCAGTGATTTCTGGTTTAACCACAAATGAATGGGCCAAACAGGGACCTGTTTCCTCATAATTTTAGAATTGACATCACCTTTTTTAGAATTTACTCACTATATATATACAGTTGTGATTGTTCTAGAAGTTGAATTTGGATACATTAGTAATTTATATAGTACTACAGGAGCATATAGTTAACAATCTCATTTTTTAACAAAGTGAAGTTTGAAATAGGAGTAAGGCATGATACATGTGTTAGGTTAGCTGAGAGAATAAAGACATGGAACAATGATGCATTTAATATTGCTACAGTTACTGCTGCAATAATAAAGTGGGAAAAAGAACAGGAAAGGTCTCATGCTTAAAAATAGTAATGAAGAGTATTTAAAACAAATAGACAAAAGCTTTACTTTTTTTCCCAAAAAACTTTCATTTTTCACTACATAGCATCAGGTGGGAGGAAAACATTCCTGTTTATGAAGTGTTTCTTCTAGTCATTACAGAATTGAGCAGAGCTTTAAAATAACACAAATAGTAATGATTGATCCCTTGATTGAGCTTTTCATTCAGGCAGTACTCCTCTGTTTTCAACACCATCTTACAGGGCAGATTTGTGTGTTAGTAAGTTTGGGTTTTATGTAGATAGACTTACCTTGGTTGTAAAAACTAGTTGTTGCTCTGTGGATGACTTGTTGCCTTCTCTCTCCCCCTTGCAGAGCTGTAGCAGCCTATCTCCGAGCCTTGAGTTTGAGTCCCAATCATGCAGTTGTGCATGGCAACCTTGCCTGTGTGTACTATGAGCAGGGACTGATAGACCTGGCAATAGACACCTACAGGAGGGCTATTGAACTACAACCCCACTTCCCTGATGCTTACTGTAACTTGGCCAACGCCTTGAAGGAGAAAGGCAGTGTAAGGAGTACTTTTTTCCCCCCCCCATTAAAAAAAATTTAACAATGAATGTTTGTTTTAGACACCAGTGATGTTAAGATGGAATGTTACCTCATCCAATTAGTAATAAGGAAGAATGATTCAAGCAAATCTGCACCTTGAGTTGTTTAAAAGTGTTTGTATAATGACTTTTCAAACTCACCCACAAAGATTACTGTTTGAACAGTATCACTTTTTTTTTGCAGGTAGTAGAAGCAGAAGAATGCTACAATACAGCCCTTAGGCTTTGTCCCACTCATGCAGATTCCCTCAACAACCTGGCAAACATCAAGCGGGAGCAGGGCAATATTGAGGAAGCAGTCCGCCTGTATCGGAAGGCTCTTGAGGTAACAGCTGAATGTGGTGAGGGAGGGGTGTGGAATTCAAGTAAAACCCCATCCAGGGTGTTCTTTTTCCTCTTCATATGTGGAGGAATGTCTGCTCAGAGACCTGAGTCATACAAAAAGAAGAGTAAGAAATGAAGAAGAATGGCTTTACATGGTTTTCTTGGGGTATTTGAGAGACAGATTCTACTTCTTCTTCCAGGTGTTTCCAGAGTTTGCAGCTGCACATTCAAATTTAGCAAGTGTTCTGCAACAGCAAGGAAAGTTACAGGAAGCTCTGATGCATTACAAAGAAGCCATTAGGTAAATCATAGAATCGTCAAGGTTGAAAAAGACCTTCAAGATCATCAAGTCCAACCTTCCACCCCACAGCCCCCAACCACTCAATCATCTCCTTCAGCACCACGTCCACCTGTTTTTTGAACACCTCCAGGGTCGGTGCCTCCACCACCTCCCTGGGCAGCCTGTTCCAAGGCTTCACCTACTCTTCCTGTGAAGAAGTTGTTCCTAATATCCAACCTGAACCTCCCCTGGCACAGCTTGACCCCATTTTCCTTTGTCCTATTTCTAGTCACCAGGGAGAAGAGGCTGACTGACACCAACCTCACTACAGCCTCCTCCCAAGTAGCTGTAGAGAGTGATGATGTCTCCCCTCAGCCTCCTCTTCTCCAAGCTGTACAGCCCTAGCTCCCTTAGCTTCTTGTAAGACCTCCAGACTCCTAATCTGCATAGTTGTCCTTCTCTGCAGCCTCTGCAGCACCTCAGTGTCCTTCCTGTCCTGCAGTGCCTATCTATAATATTCCCAGCCTTTCACAACAGGAAGGTGCTATAGATTTGTACAGAAGGTGACTTACCCTTGTGTGTTTTGATTCAGATAGGTGCTTTGCAAACCCAAAAGTCTTTTGATTTCTGGTTGGAGGAGGAGCTTTTATTGACATATTATCTTTGTTCTTAGAATCAGCCCCACGTTTGCAGATGCTTATTCTAATATGGGAAATACTTTGAAGGAGATGCAGGATGTCCAAGGAGCTCTACAGTGCTACACCCGTGCCATTCAGATAAACCCAGCTTTTGCTGATGCTCACAGCAACCTGGCCTCTATTCACAAGGTATCACATGCAAATGAGTCACCCTTGGCATATGGTGGGGCACTGTGAGTACCCTGAGTGTATTTTTATCTGCTGACTCATTTCTGTGTCTTTGCAGGATTCAGGGAATATACCAGAAGCCATCGCCTCTTACCGCACTGCTCTGAAACTGAAACCTGATTTTCCAGATGCTTACTGCAACTTGGCCCACTGTTTGCAGGTGAGGAAAAATAGGCTTTGATTGTCATTCTTAAGATTCCTCTGCAGCAAATGTGAAGAAGCCTGATGACCCCAACTATTGACTAGTTTAAAGAGTAGATTCAAGACTTTCATCAGAATATGAGATAATACAGCGATAAACAGTAATTAATGAAGTTCTCACTTCCATTTTTGGAAGAAGTGTCTCAACTTGTGAAATACCTGATAGAGATCAAAGGGAGCTCTTGACCTAATATTTTCTTTTTTCTAGATTGTCTGTGACTGGACAGACTATGATGAAAGAATGAAGAAGCTGGTTAGCATTGTAGCTGATCAGCTGGAGAAGAACAGGCTGCCTTCTGTGCACCCCCATCACAGCATGCTGTATCCCCTGTCCCACAGCTTTAGGAAGGCTATTGCTGAGAGACATGGAAATCTGTGTTTGGACAAGGTAGGAAGCTTTATGTGATTGAAGTACTCTGTGATTTGTCCTTTTGTTTAGTGGTGGGTTTGTTTTCCTGAGTTTATTAACAGTTGTGTATGTTTTCTTGACAGATTAATGTTCTTCACAAGCCTCCTTATGAGCACCCTAAAGATTTGAAGGCCAGCGAAGGTCGACTTCGTATTGGCTACGTGAGCTCTGATTTTGGAAACCATCCCACCTCACACCTAATGCAGTCCATCCCAGGCATGCATAACCCAGACAAATTTGAGGTAAAAATATAAATGGTATGCATAAAGCTTTACATACACTCTAAGTGGCACTTTCTTTTTCTTCGTATGGGCAGGTAAACTACGGAAGGGCAAGTTTCTGTTTCTAGGGTTTGGAATTTTTCTGTTAAATTGTAATTTAAAATTTAATTATAATTTAAAATTACAATACAGTTTTGTTACATAGCAAAGTTATTTTGTTGGGAAGTTACTGCAGATGCTTTGTTTTTGGTGCCTCACACTCTAGGTATTCTGTTATGCCCTAAGTCCTGATGATGGTACAAACTTCCGTGTAAAAGTGATGGCTGAAGCAAATCACTTCGTTGACTTATCTCAGGTGAGCTTTTCTGGAGTGCATTGACTTTTTATCAAACCTAAACAAGGAAAGACATCAGCCTGCAGTTTGAGAGTTTTAGCTGCAATCATTTCTTGACTTAGACTAATGATAGTCTTGGACTTTGTAGACATATTGCTGTAACACCCTACCTGTGATGGAGGGGTTATTGTGTGACCTCTGTGGGATTATTAAAAATATTAGCAACATTGAATAACTGTTCCATTAGGTCTTAACGGTATTAGTCATACCTGAAAGTCATAGCTAAGTTATGATGCCAAAACTTGAAGGACAGGGTGCAGAGAAGGGCAACTAGGCTGATTAGGGGTCTGGAAAACAGGTCTTATGAGGAGAGGCAAGTGCAAACAGATTGAGGACTTTCCCCTTTGTTAAAACCAGGAGTAATGAGATTTCAGGTCTCACCTAAAGCAGATGATACAGCTGGTATTTATCCATTGGTGTGCTGATGACAAACCACTTACATTACTGAAAAAGTGAAAACAAAAATAACATTTATTGATGTGTTTATTCTTCAGATACCATGTAATGGAAAAGCAGCAGATCGCATCCATCAGGATGGGATACACATTCTCATTAACATGAATGGTTACACCAAAGGAGCCCGAAATGAATTGTTTGCCCTGAGACCAGCACCTATTCAGGTAACTAAGTTAGAGGGCTCTTTATCTCCCAAAATCACTTGTGAGTAGGAAGAGCTTCTCTTCTGGCGGAGTGAAAAAAACATTGAAGGCTCATGTTGATCAGTGAGAGAGTCTTCTTAGGGCTTAGCATATGTGAGGGTTTTTCCTGACAAAACAGAGTAGTTTGGGTTTTATGTGCTTTATGGACAGTTGCCTATGTCCTGGAAGAGAGCTCTTTAATTCTGTGAGATTCATGTACACCACTGGCTTTGTTGCATTAGTGAGAACAAAGAAAGGGTTTTGGAAGCAGTTGTGGAAATGGGTTGTTGTGTTTTAATTTCTTTAGGCTTAGTGAAATTATAGCTAGAATAAGTCTGAATCAATGTCAGAATTATTTTTTTTAACCTGAGGGTTTTCTAAAAATGGAAAGAGAATGGGAGAAGTCTGGATCAGAGTCACTCAAAGCTACAGATGTTGTCTCAGATAAGAGAAGCTGTAATCTGCTGGTTTGTGTTCTGGCTGTAGCTGCATGTAGTTGGATACTTTGGACTTTTGCTTGAGGGATCAATTTTAGAACATCCTTGAACTGTTTGCTGTTTCAGTACTGAAAGTTTGGGGTTAGGAGTTGCTCTTCAGTTGATTAAGCACAAGAAAGAACTTGAATCTCGAGGTGGAAAATTTAACTTAAAATGCATTGATTTATAGCTTTATTTTTGCAATGTACCTGGGACTATAACCTTGCTTTCTTGTTTTTTAGGCCATGTGGCTAGGATATCCTGGAACCAGTGGGGCATTATTCATGGATTATATCATCACAGATAAAGAAACTTCTCCTGTTGAGGTGGCTGAGCAGTATTCAGAGAAATTAGCATACATGCCAAACACTTTCTTTATTGGAGACCATGCTAACATGTTCCCCCATCTGAAGGTAAGTAGGAAGATGGGGCAAGAAAATTAGGTGTTTTCCATCATTGTCTTTGTGGCACTTGGTATAGTACTTGGTAAGGGATCTTGTAACACTTTTAAAACCTTTTTTTCAATTTTTTTAACAGAAAAAAGCAGTAATTGATTTCAAGTCCAATGGTCATATTTATGATAACAGAATTGTGTTGAATGGCATTGACTTGAAGGCTTTCCTTGACAGCCTCCCTGATGTCAAGATTGTTAAGGTGAGAACTGCTCTTCATTCTGTTCATTCCTGGGGACTGAAGCTGGTACTTCCTCTGATGCTTATCTTATTTATCTTAGATGAAGTGTCCTGACAGCTGTGACAATGCAGATGGCAATGCTGCCCTCAGCATGCCAGTCATTCCAATGAACACTATTGCAGAAGCTGTGATTGAGATGATTAATCGTGGGCAAATTCAGATAACTATCAATGGATTCAACATCAGTAATGGATTAGCAACTACTCAGGTGAGGGACTTCAAGGTGCTGTTCTCTTGGGTTTTATGTTATATCTCTGTTTTAACTTAATGATGAGCCTCCAGGCAAATGCCTGTTTTTTGTCATGTTGGTTCATTTCGTTCTCATGCTGAAGGAAACTTGCAAATGTGTTACAAGCCACAGATATACTGGAAGATGATCTTTCCACCCAAAGATAGAGGGATTGTATCAAGAAGTATCTGAAGTCCAAAAAAATTAATCTTGTGGCATAAAGAAGACACTTGGCTGTTCAGAATCTGAAGGCGAGATTTGCTCGTTGTCTGCACCCTACTGGGCATTTGAGAGCTGTTACCCAGTTTGTTGTGGTTGTCCTTCAGAAAAAAACTGCTGGGTAATACAGGCAAAGTTATTCCACTGTATGTCAACAATGTTTAGTTGTCTCATAACATCTTTCTGAACTGTGCACTATATCACCACCTGTCAGTGCTTCACAGTTCATGGGATTTTAGTGGCAGTTACTGAGTTTGTTTTAAATTTCTTCCTTTGCAGAACCGTTCTTCCTTTTTAAAAATAGCAAATTTGACATTGGCAGAGCTCTTTTGACTTGTGAATTTTATTCAGTTTGCAGTCCTTGAGGAGACTCTACTGCATCATTTTGAGATCTCTCATTATCACTGCTCTATCCATAATTTCATGCTTTGGGTTCTTTTTATGAGTTCTTGTGTTCATAGCTGGGACTTCCCCTTTTCTTGGTAACAGGTTATGCCGTGTTTGGTCAGTAACCTTATTAGCCTGTTTTTTCTATATTGTACACTGAGAATAATAGAGAATTCATGACTTGGCACTCCACCACCAAGATTAAACAAGCTAAGCTCTGTCACTGCACCTCTAAGCCAATATTTCTGTCTTTTGATCACACTAATAAAACCCTCTGGGCTTGTTCTAATTTGGTATCAGCTACTTTTGGGCCTAGGTCGGTGAGAACTGTGCATTGTGGTTTTGAGGTCTCCTCAGTGACCTGGATACAGCACTTTTACCACCTTCTGTTGAACTAAATTATCTTGTGCATCTTCTGACAGAGTCAGTGACAGTGAGTCATTGTCATTTGTGTCAGTTTTGTCAACAGTGTGCTTATTTTGGCTGGCCACACTGCCACTCAGCTGAATTTAAAAAATATGTACGTAAAATATATTTTAAAAAGGCTCTGTGTACCTGTTTTACCCTGTATCTGTGCTGATGTTTTTATCTTTGATCCTGCCATTGCCTGGCATTTAAAAAAAGAATTAAAAATAGTACTTCCATTTTACCAGTCCTCAAGTCTGTTGCATGGTATTCTGATTATCCCAACTTCATCCTCTACTGCTTTGTTTTAGTGTATTCCTAGCCTTTGTGAAGGCTGCAAGATCCATTCTTTTAAAAAAAGTCTGTTAATAATTCTTCTAGTCTTAGTTTTCAGAATTTCCCTTTATTTCCTTGTCATCTAATTCCTTATACTCTTTCTCAGTTAAGTATTAAACTTCCTTTTTAGTCTTGACTATGTTTGTTTTATGCCTGTTGTCTTAAAAAAACCTACAAAACTAAACACCAAAAATCCACACAAACCAGAAACCCCCTTTGTTTTCTTACTACTTTTTTATACTTCCTTGAAGTCTTAATTTCATTTTTCATCTCAAGGCAATTAGGTGACCTTAAGGTGAAGAGGAGTCCACCTGTCCTCTTTTTACAATTCTTCTTTCCAGTTATTCCAGTTACTTGGAGTTTCAGGGAGGTATAGCAAAGGTATGAAAATGTCCAGTGTTTTGTGCCTTGGAGGTTGCAACATGGGGCATTTCCAAGGGTGTTCACATTCCAGTTAAATTCCTGTTATGAATAAGGAGACCAATTTTGAGTTTTACAATAAAACCAAATATATGCTTCCAGTGACTTATGGAGCCAGCAAATCTCAGAGTGTGTCTCAGGGCAATTCCTCTGGGCATAGGCTTGTTTCCTGCAATTTTAGGGGTCCAACAGCTGTTGTTTGTTTTTTTTTCAAATTTAGATTAACAACAAAGCAGCAACTGGTGAAGAAGTTCCACGAACTATAATCGTTACTACACGATCTCAGTATGGCTTACCAGAGGATGCTGTTGTATACTGTAACTTTAATCAGCTGTATAAGATTGATCCTTCCACTTTACAGATGTGGGCTAATGTGAGTATCTTAATAAAAAAATCTAAGGTCAGAGTTCTGGAACAAGCTGTTCAAGTGAGCAGAAACTTCATGCAGCTGAGAACTGTAACTGTTGTGTGGCAAACATTGACCCTGTGCGGATCCTTTTGGTGCTCGTGTTGCAGGACTTAATAGGATATAGAATTTTTTAGATTGATTTCAAATTGCATCTGTGCTTCTAGCCAGTGAAAAATTACGTCTTGGACAGCTTAAGGATGCTGGAACTCCATTGTGAAATCTGTTTGCTCTTTCCTAGGCTGCACAATCAAGTCATAATTGGCCTTGGCAGTTTGTAGATTGACTGCTCTGAGCACTGAGTGTCTGAATCAAAAAACAGTTCATAGTATATTGCTGAGAGTTACTTCAGGGGTCTCTTTTTCTTTTTACACTCCATAGCATGGGATCATAAATTTCAAGTCTTATTGTGTAAGTACTACTCTATGAATTATTGGTCAGAGTTACTGTCTCTTTCAGTGGTATTAGAAATGCAGTTCTAGCAATTCCACTCAAAATGGTGATGAAGATTGAAATATTGGATGATTATGCCTTTTGCTTCGTATTGGTATGTGGTAACTTCTTGTTCAGAAATGTTTCTGAACAAACTGCCTGTATTTGCTTCTTTATTTGGCTTTAGATCCTAAAAAGAGTTCCAAACAGTGTGCTGTGGCTGCTGCGTTTCCCAGCTGTGGGAGAACCCAACATTCAGCAATATGCACAAAACTTGGGTCTTTCCCAAAACCGAATCATCTTTTCCCCTGTTGCTCCCAAAGAAGAACATGTGAGGAGAGGGCAACTGGCTGATGTTTGTCTAGATACTCCTCTTTGCAATGGGCACACAACTGGCATGGATGTACTCTGGGCTGGGACTCCAATGGTCACGATGCCAGGTAAGACAGTAGGGAACCCACATTGAACAGATGGGTTTGAATACTATTAATTGTGAATAAAAAAACCCAGCAAGCCCAAAAGATTGTGTGGCCTCCTCTGGAGGCAGAAGGAAAGGAACTCATACTCTGCAGTATATTACTTATCAGCTTGCTCCTGTTACCAATTGTTTTGGTGGTTTTTGGTTGTGTTTGTTTGTTACAGGCGAGACTCTTGCATCACGAGTTGCTGCCTCCCAACTTACTTGCCTGGGTTGTCTTGAGCTCATTGCAAAAAGTAGACAGGAATATGAGGATATTGCTGTGAAACTGGGAACTGATCTGGAATAGTAAGCAAACTTGTACTATGTCGTGTGGCAATATAAAAACCAAAGTGCTGTATTTGGGCACAGCGCTGAGGCTTTTAGGTGTTTTTTTAGTTTTAATCTTGCAGATATTTTAATATTTAAAATAGCTGGACAATCCTCATCTGGAGGTTTCTTGTCTTGCAGTTAACTCAGCTTCTGCTTTTACAGTAAACTTAACAGCGCTCCCAATTGAGTAACAGAGTAACAGTGCTACCTGTTCTGAAGAAATTGCTCATGTGCAGGCTCTTACCTGGTAAAAAGTGCAATAGTTCACCTTTTGTTCTTTTTAAATTGAAGATTAGCAGTTTGTCACTTACTGGAAGTTAAAATTGCACTGTGTAACAATTACCATAGTACAGATAATGCAACAAGTTAAATGCATTACAGTCATTGAATGTTGCAGCTCTTCTGAGTTGAAGGGGCCGTGCTGGTCTGTGTCGGAAATGGTGAGGGGATGAGATGGCAGCATGAACTTAGTGGAAGTGGGGGAGCAGAGACTTGGGAAACAGTTGTACTGGTAGTTCTGGGTTAGCTGAAAATAGATTTTTAAAAGTAAAATGGTGCTGTGAAGTGTTCGGAATGTCTCGTGATTGCTTTAACTCTTTTTGCAGCCTGAAAAAAATACGTGGCAAAGTCTGGAAGCAGAGAATATCCAGTCCCTTGTTCAACACGAAGCAGTACACGATGGATCTGGAGCGACTTTATCTTCAGATGTGGGATCACTGTGCTGCTGGCAACAAGCCAGACCACATGATTAAGCCAGTAGAGGCCAGTGAGTCTGCATGAAGAGAGACTGCCTGTGTGCCCACCCAGAACTCTCCAGGAACTGAGCCTCCCCAACACGTCTGCAGAGTTGATGAGCTAAAAACTGTGCATTTCTACTTGATCTGCCTGGTACTCAGTGGCTGAAGTAATACATGATGGTGATTAAAGCACACCCAGAAAAAAAAAGGGAAAGACTCTATAGAGCCTGGGATCCTTTTATTCCATGAGGAATTTGAATGGGATTGAGCCATGTACATGTGAGCCTGTGTGTATGAATGGCATAGAGGTTGCTGGGGGAAGTGTGAACTGTCCAACCAATTATAATTTCATGGGTTGATTTAATCTTCCTATGAATCTCTCTCCTTTTATGTGGATTGGGACTTGGAACATTTTAACATTTGATTTTGGGTACTTCTGTTGGTATATGTGTGGTTCTCCCACGACAAGATTTCCAGCTAGCGGGTGTGCTCCCTGCATTGATTTCTAAACTGTGGACTAAAAGGGCGTGTTTGCTGGTGTAGTCTTTTTTTATAGGTTTTATAAACCACTTGAGCCTATATCAGCCTTTTAATGTTTGACCTCTGTTTTGGAGCTCTCTGTAATGTGTTGGTTTAGATAAGGACTTTGGTTTTGTTTTTTTTTCTTCTTTTTTTTTAAGCTTCTCCAATGACTCACTTTATTGGCTTCATGATGGCAGCTCATATTCTGTTGAAAACCCCGATTTGATTTGAAATTAATGCTCCCCACAGGTGTTTGAGGTAAACACAAACTGGTGCCAAATTACAGATCTTTCAGGAACGATTGTTAATTATGTATAGAGGTGCAGTCCTAGGTACTGTAGCAAAGACTTTAAACAAAAAAAAAAAAAATAAAGCTTTGGTTTGCCAGTTTGATCGATTTGAGCAGTGTTTCACATTTTCTGTTGTCCTTGTGCTGCTGTTCTCCTGGCCTTTTGTTTTCCTTCCTGTAATTGTGTTTCAAATAATGCTGTTTATTTCACCACAAATAATTCCAGGTCAATGTAGATCTTGTACATCGAGGTTTTTGTTTCCAGAGGTTTTTACTAAACCCACCCAAACGTGACAGCTCTCCTGTGTGTACAGTTCCTTCAGAACTCACAGCAGCTTGTTTCTTGTGGCCCTCGGGTCACTCCCTGCAGGACCCTGAGGTCACAGCCTCTCTTGTCAGTATTTTTGTTTGCTTTGATCGATTTGAGCAGTGTTTCACATTTTCTGTTGTCCTTGTGCTGCTGTTCTCCTGGCCTTTTGTTTTCCTTCCTGTAATTGTGTTTCAAATAATGCTGTTTATTTCACCACAAATAATTCCAGGTCAATGTAGATCTTGTACATCGAGGTTTTTGTTTCCAGAGGTTTTTACTAAACCCACCCAAACGTGACAGCTCTCCTGTGTGTACAGTTCCTTCAGAACTCACAGCAGCTTGTTTCTTGTGGCCCCTGGGTCACTCCCTGCAGGACCCTGAAGGTCACAGCCTCTCTTGTCAGTATTTTTGTTTGCAATAAGCAATAACAGCAGTCCCCCATTTCTCTATCTCTGGTGGGAACGGGTCCCAGCCTTACCGACCTGCGTGCGGCAGGTTTATCACCTCGAGACCCGGTTGGTGCAGGAACCGCCGCGTGGGGCACCCGAAGCCCGGGCCGGGGGCTCAAGGGTTAACCGGGCTGAGCCCCGCCCGGTCCCGGTCCCGCCCCCCCAGTGCGCAGGCGCGGGCCCGGGCGGTTTGAAGCGCGATGGAGCGGCCGTTG